GTTGAGTTAATAAAAATATGGTATCTATATAGTTCCATCACTTAGATTTATCTCAGAAGGATTTGTCGAACTTTAGGATTTTTGCAGTTAAATCAAATATTTCAAGGTAAAAAAATGGTCGAGCATTATTATTTAATTTTTAGAACACTTTGGACACACAAAAAAATAATAATAAAAGGAGAGAGAAAATTGAATGATGAGTGATGAGTGGTTCTCTGAATGTAGACTGTGAAGTGAAGGGGAAGGGGAAAGTTTGAGATTTTTTGTGTGTATGAGGAGAGTTTGATGATGTTGCATGTTTTTGCCATGGATTTTTCATGCCTTTCGGGAGTCAGGATCTTCCAAACTGTACGGCATTACATTGTTCGGTTTTCCTTTCAGCCTCAGAAACCATACAATTTTGTGGTCCACCTAGGCGTCCATGTATTTGTCCCAATTCGTCTCATGCAAAACTATACAAACCAAAAAATATAAAGTCAGATATGAATCATGGGGTCCTTAGTTTTACATTATTGCATACGTATCACTGGGGATCTTATCGTAACATCATATAAAATCCTAGTCTATCGTGTTTCAAAAAGAATCGCAGTCTATTTTTATTTTATTTTTAACTTTTTCATCAAGTATATTTCCATTCAAAGCGTACAAGTTAAGAAGAGTGTATTGATTGAGATTTTGAAAGATAATTTTAATATGGAATTTTTTATTTATGAATTTTAATAGATTTTAAAAGATTTAATAGAAATGTTATTATTTTTAAGATTTTTTTAAAATATTTTAAATTTTAGATTTTAATTGATCAGACTTTGTAATTTAGATTTTAATGAATTTTAATAGATTTTTATAAATTTTTGTTGTAATATTTTAATGAATTTTATAGATTTCATAGAAAAATATGAATTTGTAATACTGTAAGATTTAATAAAAAAATATAATATAGTTTTTTTTTATCTTTTAATAAATAATTATCTTTATTTTTTAACAAATAATTAACTTAATTTAATGTTCTTCTAACTAACATTTTTTCACATATCTAAAGTTATACTTGCATTTTATGCATTGTCATAATCTCTTCATGCACTTGAATATGAATATATTCAAAACTATAGTTTTTATTAACTGGTGGCATTGAAAATGAAGATGCATCCACTAATTTAATTAAAAATTCATCAAAATGACATTTTTTGTGAATAAAGTTATATAATGTTACTTGCCAATACAAGTTCAACTTATGTATTAAATAGAAATAAAGACCTTTACTTAAAAATCGTGAAACATTATTCAAAAATACTAAATATCTCTCAATCACAATTTGTAAGGATGTATGACGTAAATTAAAAACTTCATTTTCATGTTGAGGGTTATTATCATGACTTGTAAAATCATTTTAATACATGTTTCAAAAATTATATTTCAATATTAAATTTTATTATAAATAAATTGTTAAGTTTTAATAATAAAAAAATTTAACAATAGGTAATATTTAACAATATAAAAATCATTTTAAATATTTAATGATTAAAAAATATATTAATAAATTATATATCAATTGATAGATAAAAAAAAAAAAGATAGGCGAAGAAGAGATAAATAAGAGATCCCTCCATCTATGTATGTATGGCACAAAAGGACAAATGACACATGTTTTACCTCCTTACAACATGTATAAAGTAAGACCTACACAAAACACTTTGTACCTTCACTAGTGGAAAAAATACTTTTAAAATCGGTCATTTTTTACTTTTAAAATCGGTACACTGACCGATTTTAAAAGAGTCAATTTTAAAAAGTTGAACTTTTAACATCGATTATTGACCGATGTTAAAAGTTAGACTTTTAACATCGGTCATGCATAAATCGATTTTACAAATATTATAATTTTAAAGGAATTATATTTTTTATGTTTAGAGTAGAATGTGTATTTTCTTTTATTATCATATTATTAATATGAAACATTAATTATTTTATAAATAATTAATTTTTGTTCAAAATTTTTATTTGTGGCTAAGGTAAGGTTAATAAATCCATTGTCTTAGCCTCTGACCACCTCTGACCAATTCATATATATATATA